GCTGCATCACCCAGATTGCGGTTTCTTGCGATCTTTCTACCCATCGTCTGCTCAGGTCTTCGCGTACCGCCGTCCGCCGCCACGATAATTTCTCCGGCGTCCAAGCCAAGTTCAGAAGTGGACTGCTTTCCCCCACCCCACGGCTTCATAGGTACACGGTTAATCCTGCTTACTCTTTTACTTCATCTCCTGAATTTTATTTTGTTTAAATCTGTGCGGCTGTGCCATCTAAAAACTACAATCATTAAATGTTAATCATCGGCATCAGCCAACAACAAAGGGATCAGGGAAATCACCACCACCATGAGTGACCACAAAGCTGATAACATATGACATCCTATATGCCTATATGGTAAGTCCACTCTCCCAATTAGCCTCAGTTTGAAATCTCAGATTTTTATTGTCTAATATGAAGTATTGATGATTGATTTGAATGGACAAAATAAATTGGGAATCAACTGATTGTACTGTACATTAAAGTTTTCTGTACAACTAATTTTTCCTCTAAAAAATAAATATTGTAGTGCTATTTTTGTAGTGTTTACAGCAGTGAAAACATGAGTTCCGGCTTATGCTTTTTGCATGCTTTAAACTACTTTTGGCTTGGCCAATGCTCATTAATCTATAAAAGCTCAAGTGTAAAACTCGCCCTCCCTATACCAAATTTCTGGCTCCGTCCCTGCTCCTGTCGACAATGGTTGGTAATGACTTGGAACTCTCCATGACAGCATACTCCACTCCGTATCTTGGGAGGTAGCAACAGCTGCCCGCATCATACGGATCAAGATAACCATGACTCTCACGACTCCGTCGTCAGCGACCGAGATGGAAGCAGAGATGTGTCTCATTAGTTTCAGCTTGGTTGCCTCCGTATAATCGGTCTTGAGTTGCATGGCAAGAGACGTGAGCGGTGGGAGCTCGACGATGTCGCCAGTGAAAGGGTGGAGGAGGCGGATGGCGGTGTCCTCGTCTCGCTGGAGGACCAGGAGGCCCTCGACGGAGTCAAGAACACAGTGATCCGTCAACAGCGGGAGCCGGACGCGGACAAAGATCCCCGAGTCGAGGTTGAAGAACCGGATGTGTCCACCGAGATTTTCATGGCCGGGGTGAAGTCCATGGCCCTCAGCGAACATCATCCAGCGGCGCGGGTGAAAGCGTGGGTCGATCACGCCTCGGCCCCGCGGAGACACAGTGGAAGACCGCCAGTTGGTGCACACGGCACGGAGGCGAACGTAGTCCGTCAGGTCGCCGGCCAGCAGGCGGCCCGCCACAAGACGAATCATATCTTCTGGCAGCGATGCCCATGGAGACAGGGTGGTCGGCGGCAGTGAAGGTGACATATTGCTGGTACAGATTCACGATCCAAACCTGCAAGAAACCAACTTTATTTTGTTAGAAAAACTATAAACAATAATAGATTGAAAAAGGTTACTGGAACCACGGAATCCATACCTCAACAATATGCAAAACTATAATAATATTAATGCACGGTATTAGACGTAAGAGTTTCACGGCTGGCGGCAGGAAGAAAGATATGCGGCGCGATTAAAAAAGTTAGGCAAGCGATAACGCACCTCGCGTCAGTTTAGGCTCGATGCAATCTAATTCGATTCTCGTAGGATTAATGAAACGGACTATGATTGGGTTTATGTACGATACGGACAAGAGTTCGGATAGATGATGCATAATCAAGTTCAAAGACGATGGGCTCCCACTGTCCGACGACTTATTAGCGTTAAAACTATCAGAGGAGAACCTCGTAAAAAAAAACGCTTGTACACGATGTGCCGGCCGAACCGTTGCGCGCGACGCATTGGATGAGAAGCGATCATACGGCCCAGCACGCTCGCTCACATGTAGGCCCACCTTGTCCCCTTCCGGGTGTCTTCCTTCTCAATTCTCCACTTCTTCGCACCATCCACTAGCACATCTCCACGGCTTGCTCAGCGCCAACCTCGCGCGCTCCGGCGTTGCCGGCGAGTCTCTCTCCTCGAACAGTCATGGACATGGCACCCTCGAGCTTGACATCTTCCCCTCCTCTATCTCTACCTCCCCACGAGAACCACCATTTGCACTCCCCTCACCACCGTTGCTATAATGGCCCACCTCTGCCACTACTCTAAGCTTCCTTTTCGGGCTTCTGCAGTGGGCAGCGGCGCTGCGAGCGATGACCTTTTTTTTTTTGCTTCAACCGAATGGACGTTGTGAAACGAGGGTGAGAGCAGCACTACAACTGGCGACGTCGAAAGCTAGAGCCAGCTTTGGCCAAAGCTACAACCGACCACAGTGCACCGACAAAAGCTGGAATCAGAGACAAAAAAAGGTACAACCACGCAAATATTGAACGTCACATAAAAGAGTTACCTGAACTCAACATCACCACTCTTTCTTGACTGTCTGTTTAAAACTTGAAGGAATTTTACCATCACCCGGTGTCACCATGAGTCAAATTCGCAGTTGTCTCACCCTTTTTCCCCATATAATCTCTTACATGCCCCACAACTACGACACTCCGCCTCCTTCTGTATCTGTCATTCACACTTTTCCATGTGCACTGAACACCACCGAATGTATAGCCATGTACTTTCTCAGCTTTCGACAATTTCAGACTTTCCGCCACTTTCTCAGATTCCCTATGGTCCACTCTCATCCATCTGACATGTCAAACTCAATAGATCTAGTCACCAACTTGAACCTGGTACTCGCCAACACTGCTTCAGCACCCTCCGCACACTTTGTCTGACCACCAATGCCTTGGCCTGTCGCCGTGTCCCGTGCTTACCGCACGCCTTGCCGCTATCACCGCGTCGTGCCTCTGCTGTCCTGGTCGAGTCTACCAAGATCGCGAACCCACATCACTGAACCCCCACTGCAGAGAACCACTGATCATCACCGACCGATGCCGAGTATCATGTCTCCATCAGACCACCGGTACCCAGCCCGACCCACGTGTCTCTTACTGTCCCACTGAAATAGGCTTCAACTCTTCGAATTCTTATGCCGTAGCCCCTCCAACAGCTCAGAGTGAAGTCTTACGCCAGACTCCAGCTCCACTTTCAACATGACTCCATGTAGCTAGCCATGCTACCCTGTGCTCCGTTGACTTCAAGTTCCCTTGTGCGCACCATCTTAAATCAAACCCGCGTCAAAGTCTTGGCGAAGCCGCACAAGCCATCAGACGTGCGCCACGTGTTTCCATGCCCCAGAAGTCGGCAACCTTTAGCATCACACTCCTATGTTGTCGTCGCTAAATCACCGCCGTTTTCTACTTTGGCCGACATCCAGGTCGATCCATCAGACTGTCCAGCTCGACCCATCTGAAACTTATCCGACTGCAACCATGCTCCACCCTGTGTCCAGTTTGTCCCGCACATCTCCGTGCATTGCTTAACGCCCTTTATATGCATGATCCTTGTACGTCACACCTCAGGCTCCCTCTGACCTTAGACCTTGTTTCCCCTTTATCTGCCATGTCAAACAACAGCACCTTCAACCATCATCATCATGTCTTCTTCTCAGCGTTCCATGCAAAGAACACCAGAAGCAATCCCTTTTTAAGTCTTCTGGTACATGTAGCAGCAAGCACACCTTCATGCATGCAGTACCCATGACTCTTTTTGACTATTTTCTTGTACTTCACTTTTCCATGCTATAGATCAACCTGATGGTAACCGGAACTCTCATGTTCTAACACGCTGTAGCAGCTCCCTTCGGAAATGATGATTTTAATCCTGGTTTTTTCCCTTTTAACAAATTCTCACGATGCTTTAAATCTGGCTTTCTCGTGCTATCCTGGTTCAACGCTGTAGCGCCCCAGCCTACCTGCACACGCCTGTAGCTTCTTCTTTTTTTGAGCGGTAAACCAAACCTTTTATTAACTCGGAGTGCAGTTTACAGGGATGACAAAAGGGTCGTGAGGTGAAACAAGCCACAAATAGCGACCCGCATATAAAGAAGAAGAAAATTTAGTTAGATTATGTGCATCAAAATTTAAACTACGTCCTCTAAAAATGATCTCGCAACTCATGAATTCCTTGGATCGTTCTACGATCGCACCAAGTGAGGGAGTCCTGGATTAGGGGGTGTCTGGATAGCCGGACTATACCTTCAGCCGGACTCCTGGACTATGAAGATACAAGATTGAAGACTTCGTCCCATGTCCGGAAGGGACTTTCCTTGGCGTGGAAGGCAAGCTTGGCGATACGGATATGTAGATCTCCTACCATTGTAACCGACTCTGTGTAACCCTAGCCCTCTCCGGTGTCTATATAAACCGGAGGGCTTTAGTCCGTAGAGGAGAACAACAATCATACCATAGGCTAGCTTCTAGGGTTTAGTCTCCTTGATCTCGTGGTAGATCTACTCTTGTATTACCCATATCATCAATATTAATCAAGCAGGAGTAGGGTTTTACCTCCATCGAGAGGGCCCGAACTTGGGTAAAAACATCGTGTCCCCTGTTTCCTGTTACCATCCGCCTATACGCACAGTTCGGGACCCCCTACCCGAGATCCACCGGTTTTGACACCGACATTGGTGCTTTCATTGAGAGTTCCTCTGTGTCGTCACTTTTAGGCCCGATGGCTCCTCCGATCATTAATAGCGATGCAGTCCAGGGTAAGACTTTTCTCCACGGACAGATCTTCGTCTTCGGCGGCTTCAAACTGCGGGCCAATTCGCTTGGCCATCTGGAGCAGACCTAAATCTACGCCCTTGGCCATCAGGTCAGATTTGGAAGCTTAAACTACACGGCGAACGACCGCGGAGACTTGATCTTCAACGGATCTGAGCCACTGCCAAGCGCGCCGCACTGTCACGATGGGCACGATCTAGCTCTGCCGTCGAACAGTGCCCTGGAGGCCGCACCTGTGTCCGCTCCGACCGTTAACTCGGAGCCGACCACACCAATCGAGGATGGGTGGTTAGACACCGCCTCGGGGGCTGCAATCTCTACGACAATTAAGCCGAACACCAGCCTTGTCCCCTGCGAAGCCCGTGATCCCAAGGCGCCGGACTCCTCTCCGGACTCCGAACCCTCCGCGCCACTACCAATCGAAGCCGATTGGGCGCCGATCATGGAATTCACCGCCGCAGATATCTTTCAGCACTCGCCCTTCGGCGACATTCTAAATTCACTCAAGTCTCTCTCTCTGTCAGGAGAGTCCTGGCCAGACTATGACCGGCAGGATTGGGATGCGGACGACGAAGAAATTAGAGGCCTACCCACCACCCACTTCGTAGCCACTGTCGATAATTTAAACGACGTGCTCGACTTCGACTCCGAAGACATCGATGGTATGGACGACGATGTAGGAGACGAACATGAACCAACGCCTATAGGGCACTGGACAGCCACCTCATCTCATGATGTGTACATGATGGACACACCTAAAGGAAGCGATGATGAGGAACACAGGGACGCAACGAGGGATCGTTCTCTCGAAAAGCAATCAAAGCGGCGACGTAAACGCCGCTCCAAGCCCCGCCTCGATAGAGATAGCAGTCATAAAGACCCAGTCATAGAGCAGGACGAGCCGGCGGACGACGAACATGCCCTCGAGCAAACGTCCGAACAAGGCAACTTGGATAAACAAACCGAACAACCCGTCCCCGGCGAGAACAGCATTCCGGATGACCTTACGCCGGACAAGCTCATGGAGCAGAAGAACCTCCACCAAAGGCTCGTTGCCACTGCGCGTAGCCTGAAAAAGCAGAAGCGGAAGCTTAAAACTGCGGAAGATGCATTCAAAATCAGATGGAGCAAAGTACTCAACACCGCAGACAAATACGGCGGCAGTCGCCACACCAAGAGCTATCCGAAGCGAAAGCTACTGCCTGAATTTGACGAGGAGGCCTTAGAACCCCCGCAATCAAAAAATAACAAAGCCACCCGGTCGGATAGACGACCCCATGGCCAGCATAAAGCGGCAAGCTGCGCCGCATACAAGCCGGCACGCGACCCACTCGAGGATTCACATCAAAAGGATGGCCCAGCTAGATCTATCTATGGGCCAAGAAAGCAAGCTCTCGTAAGCAATGCAACACAACCAATATCCGAACATCACGACACACCCAAATACAGGGGTGCCGCACACCCCCTATGTTTCACCGATGAGGTTCTGGAACATGAATTTTCAGCGAGATTCAAGCCCATAAACATAGAGGCGTAGGACGGAACAACAGACCCTGAAGTCTGGATTGAGGATTATATCCTCCACATACACATGGCAAGAGGAGATGACCTCCACGCCATAAAATACTTACCCCTCAAGCATAAAGGGCCAGCTCGGCATTGGCTCAAAAGCCTTCCCGAAAACACCATTGGAAGTTGGGGAGAGCT